GGCGAGAGGCGAGAGGCGAGAGGCGAGAGGCGAGAGGCGAGAGGCGAGAGGCGAGAGGCGAGAGGCGAGAGGGCGAGAGGCGAGAGGGAGAGAGGCGAGAGGGCGAGAGGCGAGAGGCGAGAGGGGGAGAGGGAAGAGGGCGAGAGGGCGAGAGGGCAGAGGCAGAGGGCGAGAGTGCAGGGTGCGAGAGAGAAATTCGTGTTTTAACCTAGGGTATTGCCTCGGTTAAATTTAAACCGGTGTCTAATTTCAGAATATTACCTCGGTCAAATTTAAACCGGTGCCTAAAGCCTTTCAGTCACAGGGAATTACCTCGGTTCGCCTTTTACTCGAGACAGTAAAATTTATAGGCATCGGTTAATATACAACCGAGGCATATAACTACTCAATATTTACGAAAATACCACCGCATTTTTATATGCTTCGGTTTTAGTAAAACCGAGGTATATATGGCGCGTTAAAAAGCGCTTTTTTTACTAGTGTGGTTATCGATTTTAGTAATCCTTAAAATAATCTTGGTCCCTGTTTGGCTTTTTAGAAGTAAGCAATTTCATTAGTTTCTATAGATTGTTGTTCCCCACACAATACAACTTTCACAAACCTAAAAGAGTTTATAGTTCTTCAGAGGTTATTGGGAGCTTCATTGCATCTCCTACAATTAAACAATTTTTGGTCTTGCTACAGATATTTTGGGAGGTTAATTAAAGAATTAAAAGAAAGAAATTTATAGGAATTAAATTAGAGCATATTAAAAAATTAAATGAAAATTTACTTTTAGCAAAGAAAATTAAACAAGTTAATAAGTATACCATATTAATCTTGGGTAGAGCGAGACTATATATAATAAAAATTTTAACATGCATTTTTAAAACGGCACTTACCACAGACTATTACACATTTTCTTATCTTGATGTTTTAATCTGATTGCTTGTGAATATATATGTAGATATAGCTATACGCGTAGCCTTGAATTTGGTGAGATTCTTAAGAATCTGTTGGAATAGGGTTAGGTGCTCTATGTCTAGGGCAAGTTGTCCAATCTAGGATTTCGTTTTCTTATATTTTGTGGGGTCCTTTTTTTTTTATTTTGGGTAATGTGCTTACTTAACTATATTTTATCTCATATATAAATACATATTATTTATAATATAGTTTTTTCTTTATCCAACCAATATCTAATGAAAAAATGATAATGATATGATATAAAGTTTAGTTATTTAAAAATGAAAATGAACATCTTAGAGTGAAAATATATAAACCCTTCGAGAGATAAATTTCTATTTAGTATCCGGTTTTAAAAATAAAAATATTGGATTAATAATTAAAAAACGAGGAAAGGTTTAAATATTCAAATATGAAATTTTATCGTATATGATTATTTATATTTTATACCTTTTATTTTTTTATAAATACACATCCATATATATATATATATACACACACGGAAACTAAATGAGGTCATGTTTTGTTTTCCTCGTCACAAAAATTTCTATGTTTTAAAGATTCTTGTGTATTAATAATAGCTCATCTAGTAAAATTTGGCATTTTCCATCCTTTGTCCAACTCATCAATTTGACACAGAATCTAGTGAGTCATTAAATTTCTTCTATGTGCACAGTTCACACTATCTGTCTTCTTTCATAGTCCCTATCTTTCAACCAAATTGTGACCTTGGAGGTTACTAAAAACAATAGCTATCACTTATTGCATGAAAAACACGATATAGTCTCTATTTGAATTGTTGGTACATAGAGAGACACATAGGGCACATTCATCGGCAAAAGTTTGGATCATGTTGGAACATTCCACTGCCACATAAAGACAATATTTTTTACTTATATTAATTTTGTTAGAAACTGAAAACTTGTGTGCAGGTTTTTGGACAAGGTTGCTATTAAAGAAGACAGTACTAGTTCCAAAAGGATATCGCTGACAGTAACCCAAGTAGAAAGGCTCTAAACTTATCTTTGGTATGGCCCTTATATGGCTCGTGACACTGATTCCAAGCACCATTTGGGCATAAATCAACACTCTTTTTGTGAAACAAGGAACCACTTTGGACAGAAACCTTGGACCTCATTTTAGAATTCCTTCAGCCTTTCTTGGAAGCTTTGTGACACTTTCCATGCTTCTCTAAATGCAAATGTACGATCATTTTTTGTACCGTTTATGCGCCAGAAAATTGGTCATCCTAGAGGAATCACATTGCTTCAAAGGCTTGGGATTGGATTTCAATCAAGATCATAGCCATTGCAATTGCTTATGCAGTAAAAGTTAGAAGAATGCATGTTATCAGTGCGAACCACGTAGTTGGACCTGAAGATATTGTCCCCATGAGTATATTTTGGCTGATGCCTCAGTATGTATTAATAGGGATAGCATATGTGTTTAATGCTGTTGGATTACTAGAATTCTTCTATGATCAATCCCCTAAAGACATGCAGAGACTAGTGGGATAGGTGTTGGGAACTTCTTGAACAACTTTTTGGTGACAATGGCCGATAAAATATCAGGAAGGGGTGACAAAAAGAGCTGGATAAGGAACAACTTGAATGATTCTTACTTGGACTACTATTATGGGTTTTTGTTGGTCATGTCAAGTATCAATTTGGTGGGTTTTTTTTAGGTTTCAAGTAGGTACATTTATAAGAGGGAATCAATAAGGGTAAAAGAGAGTCTTTGTGTTCAAATGGAGGGGAACCAAACTTTGGACGTTTCTCTTAGTTTACAAGTGTGAAAACTAGCTATTAGGGTTCTAGGCCACCACAAATAACCAATAATGTGATATGAAGCTTAAACTTACTTCAGATTCTACTACAAACTGATGAATGATTCTATATTGAATTTAATTGGTTCCACCTTTAAGTGAAGCTGGAGCCAAATAAATTCAGATACACAAGTTTATGTAGAATTTATGAATGTATAAACTAATATCTTAGTATTCACCACACCATGTGTGCTATATTGTAAAATGTTTGTGATGTTAGTATTCTCTTTTTCAGCTTTTGCTGATGGAATTTCAAGTGAAAATGCAATGTTTGTCACTTTATATACCAACGAAATGTATCAATTACGAAGAACACGTTGGATTACATTTTTTACAAATTATTTTAATTTGGTGATGAAAATATCCATGTCCTTCGCAATGATACGATCTAAACATAATACAGAGACACAACGATGAAGCTTGTGTATAGTTTAGCGTTGGAATCAGCTAACACGAGTATATTGCTTGAGCAATCAAGGGATTGCTTTGCTATTAACGTGAAAAAAGGGAATCATCTCAAAAACCAGACATCTGTAACTTGAACTTGAATGGTATCATAAGTTCACAGAGACTTTCATGAAATTACGTTGAAAAACTTTGTAGCTAGAAAAATATTTTGAAAGAACGATACTTTCTTTTCAGCCTTATAATTCTAACCTTAAGATCCCTGAAAATTTATCAATTAAAAACCATACAAAGCGAAACAATATCTTTGAGAGCTGGTCTTAAATCTTCCTTCACTATATTCTGGAATTCTAATGTGTCACCGCCAGATTTCATCTCAACCAAATGGAAAGATGGAGCGACTTCAAATATTTCAACATCAATGAAAAGCGGTTCTTTTCTACCTGCCTTTGATTTCTCCAATTTCAGTAGCCCTCCATCCTTCTTAATGATCACCATCCTCAAAACATTAGATCCACCAACCCAATTTTTAAAATTTTCTCCTTTTCAATCACCTTAACGACAACACTCTCCCCCAGTCTTGAGGTCCCTTGCATGGTAAACCTTTGCAAAGTTTCCTTGCCCTAATAGTTTCCCAAATTCATACTTCTGCATCAACACATTCCCTATTTACCCCATTCTCAAGCACAAACCCTCAGACACAAAAATAAGCACCCCGATTCTCTCTCCGATTTTTCTAACCTTCAAATAAAAAACCACCAGCACCAATTCTAACACGTATTACCAACACGATAATTGCACCACTCTTTCACTGGAGTCCTTCAACCTCCACGAGAAGCCACCAAAAACACGCGAAACGCAACCAAAAAATGGCTTCAGAGAAGATGCTCAATTCAAATGCTCTCCTTGAGAATGAGAAACAAAAAAACCGTTAAAAAAACGCATATACAAAAGTTCCAACGCAAATATATACAAAATAGAATGCAATTCCCTGAAACAATATAAGACATCACAAAAATCAAAACATCATCATTCACAAGCTGTGGACTCAACCACATAATCATCTTCAACCAACAAAAAAAAAGCATAACCAAATGAACCTTCTAAGTTTCCCTCGATCGATCGACCAGACAAAGAATAAGATAAAAAAAAGGTTTAGGAGAATTGAGCTGAATTAAGACATTGTCAAACCTAAGAAGATAACAGAAAGGTTGTGAAAATAGATTTAGAAAAAAACTGTTCACATTCTTTGGTTAAGAAAACAAGCAGTTTGTTTTTGCTGCAATTCGTGCTCTAGATCTATTACAGGGAGGACAAATGCTATTGAGACACTATTATTGGGTATAATCCATGTTGGTTGCAATCCGAATTGTTCCTTCACTTGTACGTAGTGGAACTTACGTGACTGTTACCCCCTATCATAGTGTTTTGCTAACTTTTCTCTCAAAGGGAATTAGGGATACAAAATGACTTTCCCCTTCATTTTTGTGGGGAACCCCAATTTGATAACTTGGCCATTTATGGCTATATTTTGACCTATTTTATGTAGTAGATATAGTATGTAATATTATGAATAACTCAGACATGATTAAAACTTTTTCCCTTGCTGATTGCCCCATTTTATTTGCAGGGAATTGTGACAGAGGAGGATGGAATGGAGTCAATAGCTCATAGATTTCTTTCTGCTGCTGTCAAGGTACAAATTATCCATATCATTCAATTTTGATGAAATGATTCTGCCTTGAAACTATTACTATTCTATTACTATATATTCTATGGTTTTTTAACATTCACTACATGTATAATTACACTCAGGCAAGTTTCCATCTCCATCTCTACTAATATGTAAATACCAGAAACTTGTGAAATCTACTATGTATGGCAAAACATGGACATGAAACTAGAGTTATATTCCTTCTATGTAAAGTTGAGTTTTTTCTGTATTTTGAAGTTGAGGGATATTACATAGGGTAAAGATGCAGAGACAGGATAAACAATGATTTGAATCCAAATTCCATTGATTTTCTTCAAAGATGTAGGCTGAGTGGTATTTTAGTTTTAAAAGGTTGAAACGTATAGTGCCTCTGCTGTAATTTTTGAGGGGTGATATCTTATTCTGGAATCATCGTTGTTAGTCGTGTGGACCCAGATATTGCTCACAATAAACGCTAAAGGATGAATTATTTAAAAAATAGGAGTATAAGAAAAATATATAAGAAAAAAGGCACATGGATCATATAATATAGGAGTATTCTAATTAGTGGTCGAGAAATTGAGTTATACTTGTCCATTTGCATTAAATACTTGAAACAAAGATTGGTACTGTGATAATATCCTATAAGGATATTCATGGTGCATAAAAAATAAGTTAAAAATTCATGGAAAAAATTGAACCATTATTAAATATGAAATTAGCTTCTTTTTTTATTCATGGAAATTACATACATCTCAAAAAGATTACTACAACTCGTACACTCTTTACATGAAGTTAGCTTAAAGTCGTCTTTTCTACCTGTTTTTGAAGTAAAAAAATATATACAAGTGATAGTTTTTAACTTTATATTGTTCATTATATTTGGAATGAATATACCCTTTGATATTGTGAAGGGTAAGGGTCCTGTTATATTTGATCCTATTCACACAGATGCCCAGGTCAATCAAATGAGATAGTTTGTTCCTGAAGAATCAGTTCTATACATTGGTGAAGCACTGACAATATTGAGAAAAGAGGTCTGACTGGTGCTATGTTCCGTTGCATTTCTGTTTTTGTTCGTTTTACACCCCACTTCCTTTTTATACCTGAAATATGCATGTTTTGTCCAATACCATAAAACATGAAATTCTGTATATTTTGTGATTAAAAGGGAATTCTCAGTATTTTAAGGATGTTAATTGGTTGGGGGCTGTAATAACATGGAATGATGGAGAAAGGTGATTAGGCATACGTCATGTGGTACTAGGGGGAACATATAATATTGAAACTCAGAATTATATATTTTATTGAACTGTCTACCATGCTGGTGGTATTAATATATTGGGTTAATCTTCATTTTCCGTTTGCATTATAAAGTTGTTTTATGTATTAGTAAATAATGGAGCTTCATGGAGACCCAAATATCTTGTTATTGTTTCTTTATCATTATTTTGTGTATATCATTGAATGCAGAACTGTTGATTGCATGTGAATGATACAGCTGCAGTTCTTGGTTTTGTTGGGGCACCGTTCACTCTGGCATCATATGTGGTTGAAGGTGGTTCATCTAAAAACTTCTCAGAAATAAAAAGATTGGCTTTCTGAGTCCAAGGTAATCTTCAGCCATCTTCCCTTATCATTCAAGCTCACTAAAGTTGTTGCCCATGGAAACTCGCTTACATTCTTATGTTTTAAATCCGTTTTTTTCAGCATTTTTGTATCCTGAAATATACTGATCAATCCAGATGATTAACAAATCCTTAAGTTGGTCATTAGTTAGAAAATTAGTTCTGGTTGAAATGGAAGAAATTAGTACGGTTCATGTTACCTTATTTGTTTAGGTTTTTCTTCAACTCTATTTTGTGTACATTTCCAAAATAAATTTTGTTCATTACGATTAAAAACCAATTCTTAATACTAGCAAATTTGCACTATTTCGTTATCTCGTATCACTATAAAACAGTGATTTCTCCACAGATCCTGCACTCTTTACTGCAAAAGTTTACAACGTCAATGGTAAGATACATTCAATACCAAGCTAGTCCAGTGGGCAACAGAACTTAGTCCAGTGGATTTTGAAGAATTCAGTTTGCCTTACTTGAATCAGATTATCGATGCTGTGAAGAAAAGCCATCCAAATCTCCCTTTGATCCTGTATGCTAGTGGATCTGGGGGCTTGCTTGAAAGACTAGCCTTGACAGGAGTGGATGTAATTAGCTTGGATTGGACAGTTGATATGGCTGATGGTAGGAGGCGACTGGGACCAAATATAGCTGTCCAAGGAAATGTGGACCCTGGTGTTCTTTTTGGTTCCAAAGAGTTCATCACTGATAGGATAAATGATACTGTGAAAAAAGCAGGTAGAGGGAAACATATCTTGAATCTTGGTCATGGAATTAAAGTAGGTACGCCTGAGGAGAATGTTGCACATTTTTTTGAGGTTGCTAAATCACTCCGATACTAACCAGCCAACTATGATTAATTATTATTTTTTTGTTTCTCTTCAGCATGTCTGTTTGATTTTGATTCTCTAGTGAATTTTTTCAGAATAATTACATATCCCGCATTTTCTAATTGAAAGAAAGTCCCTTGGTTAATCTGTCATCTAATTATGAATAGAAGCCAGGGATATGAACAATAATGTATGTACATTGCTTAATACTTTACAGAGTTAGATCAACACATTTAAATAAGTAAAAGTTATCAGTTAATCCTTCAAAAAAACCTTAATTTTTAGTCTTCCAAAACTAACAGTGGAAGGATAAAAAATTAACAGTTTTTTTTAAATAGAATGAATAAAATGTATCTTATTTTAAAAGAGGGATTAAAAACAAATTCGTTTGATAGTTTAGAAAAAAAAAACATATTTAATCCATAAAAGAATTAAGATTTCCTCAAATTGATCATTTATAATCTTGATTCCATCTTTTAGAAAAAAAAACCTTAATTATTTGTCGTCGCACTTCATTCTCTATCGTTTCCATCTCCATCAGTGGCACGAAGGATCATTGGAGAAGACGCATTCATCTCTCCCGACATAGCCGCCAAGACCAATGATTTTCTCCTCTATCCTAACCATATTTCCATCCATGCTTTTTAATAAAGGTTAAACCCTTTAGTTATTTCTATTTATGTAGGTTTTTTCAGTTCGATCTATGTCATTTTAAAATCTCCAGTCCTAAATAGTGTTAATTTGAATCAATTGAGTCTTTAAATTAGGTTAACAAGGTTAAGTTTTTGCTGAGGTAGAAAGTTGACGTGTCAATATTTTTTATATTGTATATTTCATAAAAATCCAGCTTCTATCTCCCTCCTCTAGTGTCTACCTCACCTGCTTCTTTGGGTTTGGCTCCTGTGCCTCCCTCGACGAGCTCTCTGATGAGGAGACGTTCCTCCGCGAAGACTCTCGCACCCCTGGCCCCTACCCTACTCCTCGACTCCCCTGCCTCCGAGATAAAGCACAATCAAATCCCTCTCCCACGCTCCATATCCGTCAACAAAGAGGTGGTTTCGGGGTCTGTCCCGTCATACGCCTTGGAGTCGTGCCTTGGGGATTGTGGTCGGGCAAATGCGATATGTCATGCGACGGTGCAAAGGCTGCCGGGTCGGTCACTAGAGGGTTTAACTGTGCAGGGGTTTGACTATGATTCGATATTGGGCAGTGCTGCGAGATGCCGATAGGGTTCGTGCAGATTCCCGTTGGAGTGGCCCTCTGCTCAGCGCGCTGCATAGTTGAAGTTTTTCTTGGAGGATCCTCTCAAGTACGATTCCTTGCTGTCGTTTTCAACAAGAATTCTCTTTTTCTATCTCTTTCTCCTTCGCTTTTTTCTTTCTTTTCCAAGTTTCTTTCCCTACTTTTTGTTGTTCCGATTTAGGGATTTAGGGTTTGTTGTTCTTGAAGAAGGCTGAAAGAAGATGGATTAGCGATGGAGGTCTCTCGCGACGATTTCGTCGACCGTTGAGTGGTCTTTGCGTGGCCGTGAAGATGAACAACAATGGTGTTGGCTTGATAGTGTGGCGCGAATTAGGGTTAGGTGATGGCTTTGGGTGGTCTGGCGAGATGAGCATTGTGGTTGGCCGTAACGGTGAGATGGTTGGCGGCAAGACTACGGTGACGGCACCACTGACGCATAGCTTTGCCCCCATGTAATTAGGATTTAGGGTTAATTTAAAATCCACCAACAAACCTTAATTACATTTTACATTAAAAATCTCTAATTTTAAATTATTAAATATTCTTAAATTCCATGTACAGAACTGTGTGAATGCCAAGTTAAAAAAAGCTAGTCACATAAACATCTCAGGTCAACAATTTAACCCCGTTAACCTAATTTAACAACAAGTTCCCAATCGATTTAAATTAATACTTTTTAGAACTCAATTGGAGATTTAAAAAAAACAAAGTTCGAATTGGACAAAAACTTACATAAACAAATATAACTAAAGGAGTTTAACCTTTAATAAATTAGATTATTTGGTTTATATTTTCCTCGAAACCGACTTATCCGAATCTAAACTATCCAATTAGTTAAAGGACAGACGTAGGTTTTAAATATTAAATTCGGATGGTACTATATTTGTGATATTGGATCCGAAAGGGATCCAAAGTGTCCGATGCTCTCTCCCTACAATCCAGATAACTTTCAGCAGTTTCTATCTTTTTCTATTCTTAGTCAATTGGTGATTATTAACATTGTATTGAATGTATTGCATTTAATGAATTTTCTTTCTTTTTTTTCTTTAAAAGGTAATATGTCACTTTGTCCACCTGAGGTGTAAAGTGGACCCAAGTTAGCAACCAATCACTAATATTTTGTCTTGTAATTTAGCTGTTTCTTTATTTTTCATCATATATAGTTCAACTCATCTTTCCATTAGAAAGTCAATTAATTTAGATAGAAAATGGTTTAATAAAGCATTTCATCATATTGTAGATAAAATTAATAAATAAAATTTTAATAAAACAATAATCTATGTTTTGGCAATATAGATTTTTTAATAGTTTTTTATTTATTTAGTAAGTTATTTATATTTTGAAAATAATTTCTTTTAATGGAACTTATATGTTTTTTTATCTTAATATTGTTTTACTTTCCAAACCTTGTTTGATTATTTTTTTATTATTGTTTTCCCCATAATATGTATAATTTGATGGTAAAAAGAAAAAAATACAACAATTTTATCGCTCGCTTCATCTTTCAGGATGTCCGAAAAAGATCCAATAAAGCTAGAGCTTCAATCTATTGAAGTGGAGAAAAAAGTTTATTTTTTCTTAAAAAAGAAAAAAGTAGTTAACACTTTACACATTCTTTTCTATCTTAATTCCCAAGTCGCACAGTCTCTCCAATAATCCTTATACGAAGCCAACCCCACAGCAAAAACAAAATAGTACCCTTATTCAGCATAACTTTTTTAATTATATATCATTAAATGTATATGTCAATAGAGATAAGAAAAAGAAAAGGAAAGAAATATAATAGATAATCTAACGTGATAAAAAAAATTGAAAATATTATAAATGTACAAGAGTTAGATATATTAAACAAAAGTGAATATAATTGTTAAAAAATCTCTTGTTCACAAAAAAAAAAATCAATTCATACCTAAAATGAATAAAGATTATGTAAGTAAAATAAATAAAATGACAAAATGAGAATAAAAATAAAAATATCAATAATATACATTCTACAAATATTTGTAACAAGAATTATACAAATGAATGTTTATATATTACACGACTACAATCAATATCATGAATTGCTTAATACTGCTGAAGAATTTAATTGGTAATCTTAAATAAATATAGTTTTCAAATAATTTTTCATTTAAAAAATTTGAAACATTATCAAAGAACTGGAGCATTAAATCCAGAACAATGACATGTTAGGTATATCATTACAGAAATTATTTATATTGGATATCTCACTAAAAAGATAAATGGTCAATGATCGCACGAACGAAAACATGATTAAACGAGCCATTCCCTCTTTACTTTATTAGGACCAAAACCCCACACAAACAACAGAAAAACAGTGTTCTTAGACTTTAACCAAAGGGCTTTTACATACAAACAAACAAAACAACCACAGCTATCACACACTCAGATAAAAAAATTGTATGACACAGTAGAAAAACAAGAAAAAGAGAAATTGACATGACCACCACACCAAAACTCTTACACCAGCCACTACTTCTTCTTCCACTCCAAAACCCCTTCACATTTCGCCACCCTTAAACCCAGCACCACCGCCGTTGTTTTCCAATTCGGAAAACAACACATTATATATTTTTATTTAACTAATTTCTGTAGGTACTCGTAGCATTACGAGTATAGTATACGGTATACGCGCCAAAAATGGGTTGCACAGCATCGAAGCTGGACAACGAGGAAACCGTGATGCGCTGCAAGGAGCGGCATCGTTTAATGAAAGATGCTGTCTATGCGCGCCACCACCTAGCGGCAGCGCATTCCGACTACTGCCACTGCCTCCGCCTCACCGGTTCTGCACTCTACACTTTCGCCGCCGCCGAACCCCTCACAGTCGCCGAAGACACCCCTGCCGTCCTCCTTCACAAAACCACCAATATTTCCCAATCGTCATCACGTCCTCCTCCCTCCGCCGCCGCTTCAGCTAGCCCTAAACTCCCTCGCATAGTAACCTCCGGCGTCACGCGCCGCCGTCAACAGCCGTCGAGACTCCCTCACGTTCTCTCCGAATCGAGCCCCTGTTCGTCGCCTCGAAGCCAGTTTTCGAACTTCTCAGCCGCTCAACAACAACCTGAACCCATACCTACTTCACATCCGCCACAACCTCCTCTTCCCGCCGTCACTCGCCGCCGCAAACCGCCGCCGAAGCTCCCTCACATACTCTCCGAATCGAGCCTCTTCTCCTCGCCGCGAAGCGAATACTCGAATTTCTTCGCCACCGCGCACCAAGCTCAATCCACGCCTACTTCACAAGCCTCTTCCGTTTGGAATTGGGAGAATTTCTATCCTCCTCCTTCTCCTCCAGGCTCCGATTACTTTCGCCAACGCCAAAACCACAAACTGCAAACAACGCCGAATTTCGAAACGTCGGAATCGGAATCTGAATCGATGTACAATCCGTTCCGTTCAAACTCTCAACGCAATCGCAAAAATGATAACAGTACAAACATCGATTCACAAGAACAAGAACAAAAGGCAGAACCAGAGATTTCCGAAACAGAAACGGAATCTGAAGAGAAATACTTACATGAACAGGTTCAGACGGAGCGCGAGGAGGTTCGGTGCAGCGAGTGGGAGGACCGTTACAGTTCCTCGAGTTCGTCTGAGCATGAGGAAGGAGGCGTCGGAGTCACCTCACCGTCCAAGGCACAGTATGTCGCCGGAGGCTATGCTCCGGGCGCGAAGAACAACAAGGTCAGCGATGACGTGGCGGAGGCGAAGGTAGCGGTGAGACATAGGGATTTGAAAGAGATAGTGGAAGCGGTTAAGGAGAATTTTGAGAAAGCTGCAGTGGCCGG